GGGGGGGGTCTCAAGTGGGGGAGGGGTCCTTAATTTGGGGAGGGCGAGGCAGGATTTTGGGGGGTGTTTCAATTTAGGGGAGTCATCAATTTGGGGGAGGTTTCCTCAGTTTAGGGGAGTCATCAATTTAGGGGGGTCCTCAGTTGGTGGGGAGGGCTCTGTTTGAGAGGTTCCTTAATTTAGGGGGGGATCTCCTCAATTTAGGGGGTTCTTAGTTTGGGGGGTGTCCCAAATTTGGGGGTAGGGTCCAGAATTTAGGGGAGAATGTCTCAATTTAGGGGGTTCCTCAATTTAGGGGGATCCCTCAATTTGGGGGGTTCCTCAGTTTGGGGGATTCCTCGATTGGGGGGGTTCCTCAATTTAGAGGGTACCTCGATTTAGGGGGATCCCACAATTTGAGGGGTTCCTCAATTAGGGGGGATCCCTCAATTTGGGGGATTCTTTGATTTGGGAGGTCCCTCAGTTTAGGGGGATCCCTCAATTTAAGGGGGGGCTCAATTTAGGGCAATCCCTCAATTTGGGGGATTCTCAATTTAGGGGGATCCTCAGTTTGGGGGGGGGGTCCTCAATTTAGGGGGATCCCCAATTTGGGGGGTCCCTCAATTTGGGGGGATCTCTCAATTTGGGAGGTTCCTCAGTTTAGGGGGATCCCTCAATTTAGAGGAGTTCCTCAATTTGGGGGGTCCCTCAATTTAGGGGTGTTCCTCAATTTGGGAGGTCCCTCAATTTAGGGGTATCTCTCAGTTTAGGGAGTTCCTCAGTTTGGGGGGTTCCTCAATTTGGGGGGTCCCTCAGTTTAGGAGGGGCCCTCACTTTAAGGACCATCAGTTGATAATTCCAGTGTGTTTCTAATTCCCAAGTGGAAGGTTTGGGATTTTCCCCCTTTTCCCCCCCCAAACCCCACTTTTCCTCTCACCCAGGACCACGCCCGGTGTGGAAAATCCCACCCGGATCCCGCCCATCCACATCCAAACCCCTCAGTTTTCCAGAAGACTTGAGCTTTTCCCTGCCTTTCAGAGGGGTTTTTTTAAATCCTTCACCACCCCCTTCCCTGCAGGAGACGGGAATTCCCCCCGGCTGGGGCTGGAATACCCCCTGGATCAGCATCCTGGAGAGGGGGCACGTCCGCAGCGGGCACGGAAAAGGCAGAAAAGCTGCTTAAGGCTCTTGGGGACGTGAATTAGGAACCTTAAAACCTCTTAATTTGATCCTAGGGCTGCATTCCCTGCCTCTGCCAGGACTCTGGGAATGGTGGAGAGCCGGGTGACGCTCCCAAATCCCTCCTTGGAAATGAGCTGGACATTGGGAAGAGATGGATGAGGAGACGGATCCGTTGGAGACGCCTCGTTTCTGGTGGCCAAGCAGCAGGGAAAGGCTTCCTGCCTCTTCCAATATCCATGGGGAAGATCCATGGATGAAGGAACAGCCATTGCTCCGCACCGGCCGCCTCCAGGAATTCTCCTTGGAAAAGTCAGCTCGGGATGGGAGTGGAGGACTCAAGGGATGTCTGTGTGCAGCTGGAATGTTGGTGAGGATGAGCAGGAGGGTCTGGATGAGGAAGTGTCACAGCACCTTGGTGGTGTCCTCGAGCTCTTGGATCATGTCCCCCAGGGACATCAGGACTGGGAGACAACCAGAGGGTGAATCCTTGGAACTCAGAGAGGAGGGGAACAGGATGGGTGAGGAAATCACCACCAGCTCCTAAGAGGTAGGAAAAGGCACATCCCAAAGGGATATGTGGCCACCAACCTGAGGAAAGCCCGGGAGAAGTGATGGAGTCCCCATCCCTGGAGGGATTTAAGGGACAATGTTGGAGTCCCCATCCCTGGAGGGATTTAAGGAGAAGGTTGGAGTCCCCATCCCTGGAGGGATTTAAGGGAGAAGTGGTGGAGTCCCCATTTTTGGGGGGATTTAAGGAGAAGGTTGGAGTCCTCATCCCTGGAGGGATTTAAGGGAAAAGTGGTGGAATTCCCATCCCTGGAGGGATTTAAAGGAAAAGGTTGGAGTCTCCATCCCTGGAGGGATTTAAGGGAAAAATTTGGAGTCCCCATCCCTGGAGGGATTTAAGGGAGAAGTGGTGGAATTCCCATCCCTGGAGGGATTTAAAGGACACCTGGATGTGGCACTTGGGGATGTGGGTCAGTGAGACTTGGTTGTCCTGGCCCAGGTTTTCCCAGAGAAACTGTGGCTGCCTCTGGATCCCTGGGAGTATCCCAGGCCAGGTTGGAGCAGCCTGGGATTCTGGAAGGTTGTCCCTGCCCATGGAACTGGATGATCCTTAAGGTCCTTTCCCACCCAAACCACAGATTTGGAAATGGGATTTGCACACAATGCATGGAGGCCAGGACCAGATTTATGGAATGATCTGGGATTTTTATAGGGATAAAAGCACTCCCTTGCCCAGCCTGATCCAGCTCCCACCACCCACCAGCACCTTCAGCAATAATTCCTTTTTTCCCCTGGGGAAGAATTTTTCCTCCTTCTCCACAGATGGAGAAATGAGACAACTCAATCCCTGCATGATTTTCCACCTCTCCTACCCCCAAAAAAGCAGAATCCCGTTGGTTTTCCCTCTTGGCATTAGGCACAAACAAGGTTTCTATGGAATTTGCAATTCCAGCTCCTTTTTTTTTTCGGCCCGATCCAAAGACCCTCAATGTCACTGCCAGGCTGAGATCCCACTGTGGATTCCAGCAAGATTTGGGATCAGCTTTGGGATCCCAAAAGGTTGATGCAGCTTGAAGATTCCCTGTCCTTGTCCAAAGAGATGGTAATTAAAGGAATTTAGTGGAGAGCAGGTCCATGAAGGGCCATAAAACCCAACATTCCGGGTGGATCTTCTCCTTTGGGATGTCCATGGTGTGGGAATGTCCCAGCAGGAGTCAGGCAGGTCCCACGAGGTGGCATCTTCCTTGGATATTTCCCTGCAGGGAGCTGCACCAGGAGGAAGTTCAGCCCTGGAATTTGGGAGTAAAGGAAGAAACAGCCGTAAATTTCCAACGACGGGTCAGGAGCGGGACACAGTCATGGAATGGTTTGGGGTGGAAGGGACCTCAAAGATCCCCTCATTCCAACCCCTGCCATGGGTAGGGACATCTCCCACTATCCCAGGTTGCTCCAACCTGGCCTGGGACACTTCCAGAAATCCAGGGCCAGCCACAACTTCCCTGGAAAACCTGTGCCAGGGCCTCCCCACCCTCCCAGGGAAGAGCCCAGACCCATCACACCCGTGATCTTTTTGAGACAATCCCGTTTAATATTACATTTATTACATCCCCAAGTGCCAAGCTTGGCTCCTCCCCTCAATTCCGGGTGAAAATCCCACCATTTTAAACCGATATCTCCCTAAATCCGAACGCTGTTCCGTGACCACCGACGTACCGCGCCGGCCAAAAATCCACCGGGCTCCTCCCGTTCCTCGTGTCTCACGTGGTGACCTGGGATTCCTGGAACACCTGGATCACCTCTGGCTTCCTGGCGAGCTGCTGGGCCAGCGTTCCCGAGCCATCCGGAGTGTCCCGGAGCCCGGCACGGAGCAGGATCCGCGTGGCCTCCGCCTGCTGCCCGGCCACGGCTGCGTGCAGGGCTGGGAATGTGGGAGGGGGTCATGGAATCAGGGAATGGCTCGGCTCGGAAGGGACCTCAAGGATCATCCAGTTCCAACCCCAACACCTTCCGCTATCCCAGGTTGCTCCCAAGCCCCGTCCAACCTGGCCTGGGATGTTCCCAGGGATGGGAATCCCTGTGTTTCACCACCCTCATTGGAAAAGCTGTCTTCTTCCTTTAATCTAATG